ACCCTCTCAGCTCTTTTTGATTTGATTTGATTTTATTTAATGCTGAACCGAATCACAGGTGATGTCTTTATTTTTGACCTTTGACCTGTTAATAGAAATGCTAGCATGATAAGGACTGCCAAGGTCAGGCCAGCTGCAACACTGCAATTTCACTGTACTCACATTTAAGTAAATGCAGCAAAAAAAAAAATGCAGCAGAAAATAAGTAATTCAATGTGTGTATGTTTCTCTATGAGTCCTCAAATAAGCAGAAAGTAGATTTTTTTTATTTAGAGATCTTAATACATTTTTAGTATAATATGTACTGAAAACAAAATAATTCCAGTAAGTCTACCAAAAATATGTTTTATTGCCAGCTTGTACTGCACTGTAAACTATTTATTTATTGTGCCGTTTTTTTGCATTTGCTAAATGAAAAGTTTTAATGAATTTTATTATGTAAAAATTGTAGAACCAATCAAGGACATATTTGTCTGAAAATTCTAGAACTATTCCAGCAGGGATGAACCCTCTCAGCTCTTTTTGATTTGATTTGATTTGATTTAAGCTGAACCGAATCACAGGTGATGTCTTTATTTTTGACCTTTGACCTGTTAATAGAAATGCTAGCATGATAAGGACTGCCAAGGTCAGGCCAGCTGCAACACTGCAGTTTCACTGTACTCACATTCTTATTAGGCAAAAATGAAAGAACTATAATTATTGAGACACAGAAAAACTGAGCAGTTGCACTGATGAACCATCTGCCAGCTCAGCCTGAATGTCAATGAAATAGAACAAGATAGAAAGACCCAGGTCATACAGAACTAAAAAAAAGTTTCCTGAAGGAAAAATGAGGGTGCTAACATTTTTCAACTCATTGCATGAAATCCTCTTGTCTCAGTTGCCCTTGAGTGTCTTCGCTCCCCTGAGGATACAAGAGATGCACAAGAGATCACCGACTGCTGAATGTTTCATATTCTAGCTACTTTGTTCATTGCACATATATTTTTAGACTGTTCCTTGTGTGGTTTTACTTGACTATTAGTATAAGCTTGGTCTGACTAGCTTAATCATGGATCTTGTCAAGAATTAACTTTATTTCTTCCTAGCAGATGCTTTCTTAGTAAAGCATGCTCATTTAATTCCAGTTTAAAAGTAAAATAAAGTCGAAAGTGCTGACAGCAATACAGCACAATGTAAGAATGCAACTGTTGTACTGCATTAAATGATTACGACCAAATGTATTTCAGTAAAGTAGTTTTTAATGTCCTCGTCTGCTAAATAGAACAAGGAATTAAGGGGGATTGAAGAGGGATTAGAATTCAGAGAGTGAGTTTCTTGCACTGAGATGAATGTGTTGAAGTTGACATGATAGTTAGTAAGATGTCTTGTCTAGTCGATGGAGATTAAGGTGTGCTGCTAATGTCGTTTATGGATTTCGTCGATATGTTGGGATGTACTTTAAGTGTCTTGTTATTTAAAATGCTCCTATCATGAGGAATCACATTTTGCTTGATCTTTTGAGATGAAAGGGTTCACTGTGAAAACATACTGTAACTTTCAGAACACAGAACTTCCTTGTCAGTGAAAAGGCATTTATTGAAAGCTGAGAAAATGGCTCTGTATTTTCACAACTTTTTGATGTCAGAAGATAGATTTGAACACATGCAAATCCATTGGAACACATGGCCAGCCACATGCCAGCGCCAAATGTCTGTCCAGTCAGGAGGAAGTAAGATATATTCCAAACACCAGACAATCTGATAAGAGTTTAATGAGGGAAGTCTGTCAAACCTTGCGCTTTTGATTGTGGCACCTATCACTCTGCATATCCTTCTGAAGAATCCCGGTTTTAGAAAAGAGTGGCTGAAGTTTATTTTAACAATGTCCCTGATCATTTCAGACTGATATTAACAGTTTGAGCAACACTTTTTAGGGGAAACCATTTATTTTACACAAAATGGGTTTACATTATAGAGTATATAAAATACTTTATAAAGAGTTTATAAAGACTTTTACTCAACAAAGAAAACGAACAATAAAAACCGTCACCATTTATTCACCACACGAAGAGGAATAAACAATAAAATAATTTCCATTTTTGGTTGAACTTTTCCTTAGTGTTGTTATTATTAACTAAAACTAAAAATGTTGTTTTCATTAACTGATATAAAGCTTAAATAAAGTAATTTTTAAACACAAATAAAATAAAATAAATATAATATAGATATTAGAAGAGAAACAAACTTTATGAAATAAAAATAAGAATGTGAATAAGAACAACTAAGTTTAATAAAAATAAGTGAAAGTTGAAGAACTAAAATTACTCAAATTAAAATTTAAATATAAAACTAAATATTTGAGAAAAAAAATAAACATAAAAGCTATTTGAAAATATTAATAAATACTATAATAGTATACTATACTAAAATTACACTAATCATTTTTAAGACACAGCAACAATAATGTGGCCTGATTAATTGACTAAAAGGAGGTAGAAAAATGGTCATAAAAACTAAATTAAGACTCCAAAAAGACTTTACTAACATCATAAGTGGACCTTGGGGGTAAAACAAGTAGTGAAAAATGTATAATATCACAGCTTTAAATCCTAACTGTGTTAAAGTTTTTATGAGATTCATTTGGAAATGCACTGCTGCAGTAGCATCGGAGATAACTGTGCAGTGTAGATGCTTCAAAGGCACCTTTAATGTTCTGATCAAGGCACAATGTTCATATTCTCAACAGTTGCTGTGTGTGTTTCCAGGAACAGAGTCTTCAGGATCACAAACCACATGATTTGCTACAGAGATGATGACAGCAACAGGATGTGTAGCCAGCATGTCTGTGTATGTTTGTGTGCTTGGGTATAAACACAGTGTGGGTAAGTCATATGATAGACCACATGGTACTTTGAGGTTTGTGTCCATGTTGTTAATGATAGTGAAGAGTGAATGTTAGAAGGAATGTTAACGCGTTAAAGGTTCAGTGACATTTAATGCCTCAGATGCTATAGTTTGTTTACACTGAGAGAAGTAAATCAGGCTGATTTCCATACCGATACAACTTCAGTTTGTTTGTACTGGAAATTATTAGTTTAGAAGATCTAATTCATGTATGCTCATGGCATTTCTTTCAAATATTCTCAATAAATGTTTAAGCGTGAAATATTACAGTATGAAAAATGTCTATGAGCCAGACAGTACAAATCTAAATTCAAATCAGATTCTATCCCAAATTGGTATTCAAGAGCTTTTGTTTTGATGATCCATGACACACTCTGAATCAGATAAAGTTGAGACATGAGGATCAAAAGGAACAGAACCAATTAAAAGAGAAGCTTTATAAATAATAGTCCTGCATTGACAGCTCTCTGACCACGATAGCTGGTTGAGAGGAAGAGAAACGGAAAACACGTTAAAGATTTTGTCAACATCCATTACAGAAGAGTGAGCAGTCAGCAGATATAGTAGAGCTTTATCCACTGTGAATGAATTTGGATCTCTTTCTTTTCCAAAGTGCTCGCCACAGTTACTGGGCTTTTAGCAAACATCCAACTGCCAAAGGAAATTAAAGATAAATGTGTCTGTAAATATGCCAAACCAACCAAAAACCCACAGAGTCCACGAAAAGCATGATAAAGCAAAACACAATGATAATTTCACCATTTGCACTTAAACAGTTTAAACACTTTGCCATGCTGGGAATCTTTAATGTTCATAGTACTACTCTTCTCCTATTTTCCTGCTCATTTCTATACGCTTTCCCTGTTGTTATTTCTTACAGTCTATGTACTGCATCTCAAGTCAACAATGAAACACCAGTGGATTCTAGAGCTCTAATTGAACGATTGCTTAGTTACTGTTTCATGTTATTTTTCCCTTACATGTGTTACAACAACATGTAAATGGAAAGAAAAAATTGTGTTCAACAAAATCACATGGACTTAAGTGTCTGACCGCTGCGAAACGCCCAGGTTTTATGGTCCATGGCTAAGCTCTGTTGGAAATCTCCCGTCAAGGGAGAGCTGAGCTCTCTAAAAGTGCCCACTGAACCAAGTTGATCTCCTCTCTGCTTTAGTCCAGAGAACCTCCAGTGTGACCAAAACCACACTGTTGAATGTTTGCTCTTTAAAGTATGTTAAAGTATTTAAAGTATAAAGCCAATGAGGGTCAGAAACGAACCAGGGCACAGGTCAAAAATTGCCCAAATATTTCAAATGTGTATATAGTAGTCAAACATTTGAAGTGGATCAAAAAAAAGTTCATCAAAGACAAGAATGGGTATTGTTAACTTTGATGGAAGGTTTTGATCCACTTCAAATGTTGACTACTGTATATGTGTGTGTGCTGTGTGTATATGTATAGTTTTCACATAAATTATTTTTAACAATTCATAATATTGTATTCTAAGCCAGATCTGTAAAATGTTTTCTAGCAGAGCGTTTATTATGCTATGAGAGTTTGTGAATTATTTATAATTATCTTTGTATGTGAAGTTGATCTGAATTTAATGATGAGTAACAGCCAGAAATTGTTCTATGCTGAGAATGTATTTAAATTAACTTATTTTAAATATCTGACATAATAGATTGTCAACACAGTTGTTTTGTGGATAGGAAAAAAAAGATAAAAAATACCTGTAAAAATGAATGCCAGGGGGAAAATATTATCTCTTAGTAAAATGTTATTTTGCTGAACGTTACAAATCCCCATATTGGAGCAAACGCCTTTATTTTATGAGGTCATTCTAAATGCAATTACCTCATACACTATTGGCTCTTTTCTGGCCAGCTGTTTTGGACATTTAATGGACTAGTCATGTAAAAGGATCTACAGTTCAAACAGTTCACGTTTTGGGCGGGGATTATGAGAAACTTTTAAAGAGAACGTCCAAAACACTTCAGCGGATTCCGATTGGGCAAGCGACCTGTCACTCGAAAGTCAGGGGCGTGGTTTGGGGGCGATCGTTCACAGTGTAATAGAGTTTTAGCGCAGTCTTGCTTTTTCATAGGCGTGTGTCTACTGTGTGTGCCAAAGGGTGCTCCGCTCTTACCAATGCGATTAATGAACACAACGAACCAATTGAGGGAACACTAAACAAACAACCTGCTTTTCCTTTTCGTCTGTGTTTTAATACGGACGAGCTTCGCGTCTGCAAGGAATCATCCCTTTGCACGAGCACAAAGGAAAATTAAAAAGGCAAGCAAAGGTAAATGAGCTGGTTTTCTCCTTTGTAAGAAGTTTTTTCTTCGTGTCGGTTTACATGATTTGAACTCTGGTCGTGACAGTCAGCGAAGTTTGGATAGGATGGAAACACACTGCGATTTTTTGCACAGTTTTGGGGGGGGAAGCAGGTATCGTTTCAGGTCGGTAAATATTGCAGTCAGTGGCGACATGAACGCAGCCTTTATTGCTACAGACAATGCGGGTCTGATCTGATTTACTCGTCATATTCTTAGTTTTGCACGTTTTAGGTGTTCTTCAAACGTGTATAGGCTACGCAAGGCACTGGTCTTCTTGGCTCATGGAAATCAAAACCACCGGGTTGTCCTAATGCTGTGACATAGGCTAGTTGTTGACAACATAGAGAACACACGTTGGTCATGTTGATGAGAAACACATGATGACACGTGAAGTATTTCCGTTTTCCAGTTGAACCTGTACTGGTTAGACTAGTGTTTGCACGTGAAACACTTATCGTGTCTGCGGTTACAATCGCTGCACGAAAGCGTTCAGTTGTTTAGATAACAAGCGCGCGGCACTAGTAAGATGGACAGTAGAATATAAAGAGGAAGCCGTATACCCTAGTCCAGAAAGACGGGCGTGCTGGTTTTGGACTGCTGATCGGTGGTTTTGGAGGAGTTGGGCACAGAACTGAGAGTGCAGTACTCATTCAGCGTGTTGCGCACCTTTACCAGCTGTGTGGCGGCGAATTAATTACGCTTACAGATATTTACTGTGGTGATAGTGCACAAATTACCCCGAGGTTGCCTTGAATCATCTAAGTGTTATTGAATAATGAATAGCTCACTGAGCTATCATTAGACATTTTCCTGTGGTATTTCTTTCTCTTTTTTTAAACATTTGATAACTGTTATTTAATAAGTAGGTTTGGTCCATACTCCATAATTGCAATATAAGTGCACTTAAAATATTCAACCAGTAATTCTGAAGTGACCCAAGTAGAATTTTAATGGGTTCCAGCATTATGAATACAGTCAGAGAGTGTGATGTTTTCCACTTAAATAGCTTTTCTCTCTGCTTTACTTCGCTGATTTTAAGACTATTAGATATTGTTTATGTGTTACAATTACCCTTGAATATACTGTGCTGGCTTTTGAATTGCTGGAGGTCAACGCTCACTTGTTGTTCTGTGGAAAATGTGTCTGTTCTTCTTCCTTTAAAAGACTAGTTTAAAAAATGAACATTCTGTCATCATTTACTCACCCATATTTCATTCCAAGCCTGCATGATATTTTTCTTCTGCTGAACGTGCAAGAACGTCGGAGTACAAACAACATTTGACCCCAATTGACTTTCATCGTATGTACAAAAGAAGAGACATTTTCTTTTGTGTTCTACAAAAGACAGAAAGTTAATGATGGAATTTTCATTTTAGGATGAACTGTACCTTTAAGTCAAATCTGTTCAAGCTGTATACAAAAAAAACAACTACAATTTTTGAACATGTTGTGACCAAGGAAAGAGTACATGAAATGGGAAATTGCCGGAAGCTGCATTTTGCTCGCAGATTGCTTTGGCAATTTTACCGAGAATAGTTCTCAATTATTTAACTGTCATTTTGGAGCAAAACTATTTGGCAGCCAGATCCATTTGGAATGAGCACAGGTACAGACATCTCTAGTCTTTGTTTTGGTTAAAAGCATGGTTTAAACCCTAATGATCCTCTATAATTATTAACCTGCTCGTCTAGAAGGAGATCTTTGATAGTCAGACATGTACAGGACACAGGAGGCATTTTTCCTTTAAATTAACCTCTAGTTTTGTCTTAGCCCATCGTGGCTGCCTCTAGGTAGGGTAATGATGCATATAGCCTGGGTGTAATTTTATTTCCAATTTCCACTGCTGTAGTTTTGTCCCAAATGATGTTACGCTAGCCGTGTGCAGTGGATGGCTGTGCGCTCCTAATGGCTCTTAGGGTAATGAGAGCTAAAATAGCTTTGGTGCTACATTTGGATCAAAGCCATCATCTATAGTATCAAATACAAAAGCTTCTGTAATATCGGTACATATCATAACACAAATGCTTTGCTTGAGAACATTACTGGTTCCTTTGTTATAGATCAGTCATTTTTGCCCCAACGTTTTGTTTTTTGTCACTTTCGATGATGTTTTTGCTCCAAGTGCTGGTTACTGTTTGACCCTGCTTTAGATTTCTTAAAACACTTTTGTCCCTGATAAAATTCAACCGTGAGCAAAACTAAGAGTAGCTTGAAGGGTTCATCCCTCCGGGTGCAGGAGGTATATTTCTGGCATCTACCCCGAGGTTGCCTTGAATCATCTAAGTGTTATTGAATAATGAATAGCTCACTGAGCTATCATTAGACATTTTCCTGTGGTATTTCTTTCTCTTTTTTTAAACATTTGATAACTGTTATTTAATAAGTAGGTTTGGTCCATACTCCATAATTGCAATATAAGTGCACTTAAAATATTCAACCAGTAATTCTGAAGTGACCCAAGTAAGGGGGTTTGTTTTCCCCCCCCCCCCCCCCCCATTTCATCAGACAAGGACAATTTACTTTGGAGACTTGTTACTCTGCTTTAGTTATTCATAGCCATTTTTATGATGGATTGAAACTCTAGAATGGAACAAATGCAAGTCAATTCATTCTCTACATTTGAATGTGGACTAAACAACCACCGTGTACCTGTTCTGGACCGGCTGTGAGACACAATGGATCACTTTCAATTAGTTACTCTGGGGAGTTCACTCTGCACTATAATGGCCCCTCATATTTCATGTTGATTGTTGTAACCCGTAGCAACAGGGTAGCCAATAGCTGGAAGATGCACCTGGAGAAGAGGGTTACGAGGCTGTTGGGGTGCAGTGGAATGAGAGCTGTTGTTCCTGCCTGGCTGCCTTAGTCCAGTGAGGGGTCTCGTACCCCTGGGGAGTGAATTATTACCTGTCAGACCTAGGGCCTCGGCATCATCCATTACGCAGCCCTCTTGCGGGGGCAGCCAGCCCCAGCATGGCAGCGCGATCAGTGGGCCTTGGCCTTCAAACCTGGCCTCCTCTCTCTGGGTGGGTACAACTTGTGGCGTTCCAGCTATTATGAGCATCTCCAGAAGTTGCGAGTCCCGGCGTTATATACAAATGCACAAATGCTAAATAGCCTTACAGGTTTAGGATTCCAGCTGAGAGGTTGTGGCATCTCTGGCAGGCCTCCGTAATCTGCTGTAATGAATGGCATCGTTGTGCTATACTCTGTTATCAAGTTGTTGGTGGTCGATGATTCTAATTTGTCACACATTCACACTTAAGGTAATTCTGTTGAAATCTTCAGCAGAGTCCAAGTACCAGTTCTATTCTTACTCTAGTGTAAGGCAGGCTGTGATGCCTCCAGGATATTTTAATGGGGTGGCCAGATTGGGACAGTAAAAATCATGGCACAAAAAAGGCTGTAGCATGGCTGAATTTTGGGATAAGCAGGGAGTGTCTGTCTGTCAATGATTCATTGCCCATGTAGTGTTTGTTAAAATTATTATTGCATGCATTTTGTAAAAACTGACATTAGATTTAGGGGTCCAGTTCTCCAGCAAATGTCTATACAAACATAACATGTTTCAATAACTTTCAATGAGTCAATAACTTGTACTATACCTAGAGAGATTAAATGCAGAAAAAGGAAAGGCAGATCGCTTGCTGAGTACAATATCTTTGTTCACTACAGATGATGTTTCATTCATTTCCATGCTTGTAATGAGTTGCATGTAGGTAAGACAAAGTGGATTTGAAAATCCTGATCTAACAGATGTCTGATGAGGTCCAAAGCAACTTTTTTATTGCTTTGATGGCTTTCATGACAAAATAAACATGACAGCGATTGTGTTTCTCCTGTCAAAAGCTGTTGTCACTTAGATGGAGATTATAGGAATTACAAGAATAATATTTTATTTTATGTTTTTATTTGTTTAATCAATTATTAATAATACAAATGCACCAATAATAGAATTCTGAATAAAATTGAATGTTTTGGCTGCTAACTGATAAATGGCCAATATAAAAAAAGGCTATTTTTATTTTATTTTGTTTTATTCTTCAATGGGAAATCATTTAAAAATAAAGTGCTAAAAACTAAAATCAATCATCTTAAATGCTATAGTAAATGTATCATAATGAGATTTGCTTAATATTACATTAAATAGTCTTTAAATACTTTCAGTGAGCATTAGAAGACAACAGGGGTATTTTAAAATTTTAATTTGTGCAAGTGAGTATGCACAAACAAATATAGAAACCAATACTAAATAAAATGACTATGACCAATATATTGTGCATCCTTCATTAAAAAGAAGTTATAAACCCATACTGTCTTTTATTAGCTGTCAAAATTTGACCTTATAAATGTAATGAATATCATTACATTTCTTTTGTCAGTTCTGTGAAAACAAATACACCATGTGGATCACGTCCTCACGCACACATTGTGATTCATGAGGAAAGAAGTCGCTGCCTACACAAACTGTCATCTTTAAGAATGTAAGGCTAGCTGAGTAATGAGAGCTAAATGGAGACTGAGTGATAACCGTGTGAAATCGCTGAAGTGTGTCATTGTTTTTATTATTTCTTTTTTCTTCCACCTGATTATGGAGTCATGATTACCCCATTCGCCTCATTAGAATATTCAACCATATCCTCAGCCTCCAGACTCCACACAGACACCTTTTTGTACTTGTCACATTGGTATGCTAGAATTCAAAGCTGAGCTCACATCCACGGGCTTTCCTCCCCAAACCGCCATCCGAAAGCCTCTCGTTCTCCCACTGCAAACTGAAGCTCTCCATTTTAATTACTGTTCTCCATACATACAGGTTATTGATTGTCTCACTCCAGGGTGGTGGGCTTGGGGTTGCTCCAGATTGTGCTTTAAATGATCTCTTAATCACTTTATAATGGAACAACTCTTCCTGCTGCATTGATTACCTGCTTGTGCTGGAATTGTTGTTAGCCTTCAACTTTCT